TTCATGTGGTAGATTATGGTAGAAAGGAATTTAATATTATGAACACAGAAGTTCTGTTTTTATATATAGTAGTGATTGTTTTGGAGACTTTTAAACATCTTTAATTCAATTGAGAGAGTTTCTTGGCAGGCTGGGAGATGTGTGTCTAATTGAGAACGGCACATTCTTTTGCTTTAATTTGTACCTTATTTCAAATAACTCCCGGATTCTTGCTTGTGAAATGTATTGCTCCATTTGTTGGTTTCTTTTTGACATAGATTATATTATAAAATTATGTGTAAAATTATTTTTTGTTAAAATAAAAATAAATTTTAAAGATGTGTTTTTACTATTTACATTTTCCAAACCATGATGTAATAGGATCTTTTAATTCTGTATTTACTAAGAAGAGAAAGTATCCAAAGAACTTTTCATTTTTAATGGAAACAAAGGAAAACATGGATTATCCAAACTGAATGTGCCAGGTACTGATTAGTCTAAGAACAGCATTTATTTATTAATAGCATATTCTTATTTAATTTTCATCAGAGAGGGCATTTTAAAATTTACTATAGTTAGTTCACTTTCTTTTACCTTAAAACTTGCCTGCAAGGAAAAGTGACCACTTCTAATTAACTGTAACTTTGCTAATACTCCTTCTATATTAAAAGAAAACAAAATGATGAATTCTAGTGGAGTGCATAAAATGTTTGATTTAAGTGAAAAATGCTTTTAGTGTTAGACAATTGAAGTCTTAAATATAGGTATGCTTATTGAAATAAGACAGGGGTTCAGTATTGCAACTCTAATAAATACTTTGCTATTGGGAGGCTCTATTAAAGACCTTCTCCTAGTGGAATCCTGACATTTAACTTCACCAGGATGCCTATAACACTTGAGGTTTTATTTGCAGACGTATCCTTGTTTATTTAGTTTTAAAATTCTGACCAGACCCTCTCATGAAGATCAGTGTCTCCTGCCAAATTATGCCTTTAGCATTGTAGAGCAGTGTGAGTGAAATCCAGGCTTAACCTTCAGCGAAGCTTGTATTTATTTGAGCAAAGTGCAACTGGTCTGCAAAGGACAGGAATACATTAGTCATAAAATGAAAGAATTATTGGTATAATAGAAATTAGGAAACTTTTCCCCAAATGGAAATACTTTAAGATTGCCTCCTCTCAGCTATCTTTATTTTTTAAAAAGCAGGAGTAATTTTTTAAATAACAGTTGTCGATAAAGTATCAGAAATGAAAATAATCGCGCTCTCTCTAATCTGTTTACTCTGCTGCCTGTGTTGAGGGTGATGTGGTCTCTTGAGTGCTTTTCTTTGAGAGCTTTTCTCCTTCAGAGTATGTGGTCTTTAATATACTCACCCATATAGGAGCTTCTCTGTGTTTTAGTTTTCCCTGAACTTTAAGCTAAATTAACTGTCTTAAATCACAAAGCCTTTATTTTACCAAACTCTCAATGTTATGAATGTGTTTAATTTTAAAGGTGAGACTTTGATAGGCCATCAAGATCTCAAGTCCTGATACTAATGTAGGAGTATAAGAGATCCTATTACTCATAGACTGCACACATTTCTTTTCTATTTTAGTTATGCTTTTCATTATTTTCTAAAATGTTTCCAGTACATTCTTCTGACTGTCAGTAGTCTGAGACAGGAAAGTCAGGTGGGCAGTCTTACAAAGGGAGCACTGAGAATGAGCCCCGCGTTGTTTTATCAAGAAACTGTATCATCATTTCCCCTACATTTTGATAAACTATAACATCTACAAGACCACTGTCAAGGCCTTGAGTTTCAGTTATTGCGTGAATATCAGAGCAGTCTTGGGCTAACTACATATGGTGTGATGTAAGAGGTCTCAGCAAATGGGGGTCACCCTGCAAATCTTACTTGGTGTGGTTATGATATCTTATTGGGAAGCAGTTAAAAGTAGGGGTTGCAAATACATTTTCACATTTTGTTTCGTGCTGTATTTATTTCACCTGGAGTTCAAGGATGCAGTTTTGATAGAGGAACTCAGTGACTGTATTATAATTTTATAGTTCTAGTCAAGCACAAACTCACTCTTTGGAGAGAGCAATTTCAAGGTAGGAAAATATAACAGTCTTGGACATTTAGACATCAGAAAGACCAATTATTTATTTATTGCCTTCTGAATTATTAGTTTTACAGCATTTAAAGAAAAGTTCTTGTTTTGTAAACATCACAAATATTTGTAGCCATTTTTTTGCCACCCAGATACAAATGTGCTTAAGTCATATATATATTGTCTTTTCCCCCTATTCTTCCTGCAAAGGATTCTCTTTACCATTTTGCCATAATAATTTACCATTATTACCATTTTGCCATAATCCTTTTGCTTACTGGGTCTCATTACCCTTCTGCAGACAGTTTTGCCCATTTAATAGCTGTCTTGCAAGGCTCAAACCGTTTTGTATGGGATACACTGCCAGTCTTTCAGAATTGCTTTCTTGTTATTGTCTGGTAAGTTGAAGTTAGAAGGATCTTTATGTCAATCTGTTTACTCCTTTGACCCTTACAAGGAGTAAAGGTCTGCTTACTCCTTTGACCCTTACTATAGCAGCAAATCTGGGCAAGTATTCTTTCAGATCCACTTTCTGTCTCTTTAGCCTGGCCAGGGGCAATGGGTAACTAACCCAAGACCTGTCATTACAGGAGTGTGACAGTTGGGAAACGCTTTGAGGAGCATCATAAGATTCAATAGCCTTTCTCAACACACACACACACACACACACACACACACACTCACGTTTGCCTGGTGTTTTCCCAAAATGCCTCTTGGAAGGGGGTGGGGGCTCCTTGGAGCTGATGGGGTGTAACTCCAGCACTCCTCTGTCTAGAACATCTGTGGTGCTGGCATGTGCGTTCCACAGCAGTGGGATTTCTATTTGTTTATGTTCCTTTATAGAAGAAGTCTTTTGCTTTTGAATTCTGGTGGTGGTTCCTACTATATAGAAAAGTGATTTAAATCAAGGAGGTGAAATCAAGTGTTACAGTTCCTTATATGCAGTTGGTTTTACAATCTATAGTTTCCTCGATGGTGGTGATAATACCACGGGAGCACACGCCAGGAAACATAGAAAGCATTCTAAATTCTCATTGAAAGAATAACAAGAAATATAGCAAATGGGAGGGGAAAATAAGGAATAAAGAAATAGCAATATAGATTTAAGGGGAGCAATGCTGTGAAACAGTCTTCTATATCACATTCAGAGATCAGTGGGTTTTCTAGCGCTAGCAAAACCAGGCAAGAACTTTGCAGGGAATCTTACAGAAAATACTTGCAGATGGTCAGGCAGGCAGTGAAACAGCTGGCTGTTTCTGGACACTCTGCAGCCCTGGGGACTGCAGTGGAGTTTTGCTTCATAAGCTCATGTTTATATCTTATAAATTGTCAAATATTTAAAATTAATTTGAATAGGGACAGCAGATTTACACTATTAAAGACAATGTTGTAGAAATAATTTTATTACTTGAATACAAAATGATGCTTTAAGGTTTTGTGCATGTATGGACTTTGCATAGTTATGATCACAATGTGTTTTCCTTTTTATTTCAGTTAACATGGCAATTTTCCATGAAATCCTTAGTTTTTATGTTATAGAATTATGAGACCTGATATTTTAGCATTTGTGTAGAAGTTTGGCTAACATAATTTATAGAACAAGAACAAGTAACCTGACTTTCTAGCAGCGCCTTCAGCAGTGCTGGGCTGCTTTGTAATCTAGTTTCATTTTGTGGCTAACCAGAAAGAAGATAGTATGTTGTGTAGTGTAAGTTTTGGGAAAAATTCTCTTTTTTTGGTATGTTTTATTTTCTAAGTACATCCTAATGCAAATTTAGAAAAAAGTAATACTTCATATAGTTCACAAGATTTTTTTGTGTTTTGTTCAGGAGAATGAAAAAAATGTTACTAACTGATCTGTTTTTGAAGTGGCTCTGTGAATAGAACTTGAAGTTCTTTTACCATTTGAAAATAATCTGATTCGGGTGTTTGGTCTTTGAACCTTTTCCAACTTTTCTGTGTGTGACCTTGGGTAAGACATCTAATAAGTGCAAAGTGGGGGTAGAAACATTTGATGAAAACTGTGGTTGTGATGATGCACAAGGCTACTGGAATGTGGGGGTGGGGTGAGACAGTTAAAATTGTGTTGGGCTTTGTAGAACTGTCTCAGTATGGGATAAGTTGTCCAGAGGCCAGCATTCTTAGGCACAAGCATAGATGGGGAGAATGAAGAGTCTGGAAGCTACTGTTCAGTAAGGGTCGTTGACCACACTGAGGCAGGAAGGGTCTGCCCAGAAGTGGTCAGCCAGGATCTTGCAGAACAGGAGCCCCAGTCCAAGACTGTGTGTGCTCTTCACTTGGTCTCTTTGCTGCAACGACCAGACCTAATGATGAGTTGGTTCTCTTTCAGATTGAGACAAGTCCTCGTCGCTTTCGATGAATAGTCTCCTGCGTAGCTCCTGAATGCTGAAAGCAAAAACTCCCTTAGGTTACATGCCCCAAGTTAATTCTGAATCAAAAAATAGATTTCTGTACTAGTATATGTTTGTGTATGTATGTGGGTGGAGAGGATCTAGGCAAAATAAGATCTTTCCTTTGTTTTCCTAGTTCAGAAGGGAAAGGTTGTTTCTATTTAATATAGAATCAGGATGGAACAGAGAACAGTAACAGAAAGATTACATTGCACAAAGTATTGTTAATCTACTCAAGCAAATTTAGATTCAATACTAACAACAAGCTGAGCCCAAGCTCCTCGGAACTTAGGAGTTTGAGAGTATCTTATTTGTTATATTTATTGAATGAATAACCAGAAAACTAGGGTTTGGTTGTAAAATTATTGTTTTTACTTTTTGCTGAGTGGGAGTTAAATGAGCTATTTTTCAGGAAATAGTGGGGGGAAATAGCCCCACATTTTTAGATAGTTAGGCACTCCTAAATCTATGAGAATCGTTGTTTTGTTAATTTCACCAACATGTTCATTTCTTTCAGCTCCATGTTCATGCATGTCATTTAACCCGGAAACAAGAAGACTGTCCATAGGTCTAGACAATGGTACAATCTCAGTAAGTACACATAAATAAGATTTCCAGTTGAAATACTTCCCTTCCCATGAAGTATATATATGTATTGTGGTGGGAATTATTCATTAATTTTTTTAAATTAGCAGAGTCATTTTCTTGCTAGTGAAGTAGAACTCGCAGGGCAGCATGTCCTGCTGAGGCGGGAGACTGAGAAGAGCTGTGGTCAGTGTCCTTGAGTGCGTGCCTTGCATGTGCACAGGGGCCAGTGCAGGGCAGGAGGTGGTGCAGATTGAGCTGCAGGAGTCTGCTGAGTGCGTGCGAGCTGCCTTCCCTGACTGTGGCCAGGCGTATCTCAACAGGGAAATGCTTCCTCTCCTGTCTGGGTGTGTGATCTTACCTTTGAAACTTGGTGTTCTCACCCTTCCCCTCTTCCTTCTGCTTCTTTTGTCTTCTCAGCTCCCTCTAAATCTAAATCGAGTTCTATAAATCTGTATGAATTTGTAAAGAAAGCACAGAATCTAGGTTTAGTCTATGGGTGGATGCTTATGAATACTAGACCCCTGGACTATAGATTTTAAGGGGACTGAAATGATGGAAGATTGGAATTTTGAGTTTTATCTGTCTTCTTAATTTTTTTGGTTTCAACTAGTATGTTAACTAATAACAAGACTGATCTGGTAAATTCTCCTTTTGGTAAATTATCCAGTATTGCTTCTAGTCCTAGACAAGTAGGACCCTGCTTTGGGACCAGTGGATTGGAAGGCTCTACTCTGATCACTGGGTGAGGATCTGATCAGTCAAGGAGATTGACTGGCCTGCACCCTCACTCTTCCCTACCCCATCCTGTGTCTCCCCCAAATAGCTCAGAGCCTGCTTCCAAAGTCTGCCTGGGTCTTTTCCTGGATCTGTCCTTAGGAGGAAAAAACCAATAAATATATACTTAGGCCTGATGGGTGGCATTTTGAGTTGTGCAACGGCCCTCAAGGTGTCCACAGAACCAGGGATGGGAAGAGAAGGGGGTGAGATGGCCTTTCTGGTACCAGAAAGTAGACCCCAAAACTAGATCCAGCCAATAGAGTCCTTAACTTCATTCAGAAAGAAATTCAAGTGCAAACCTTAAGTAGGAAATTAAAGCAACATTTATTAAACAAATAGCAAGCAGGCACCCCATACAGAGCAGTACCTGTATTTTGTTGTTGAACTCTTATTTATAGCTATCTCTTGATTATATGCTAAATAAGGGGTGAATTATTCATAGGTTTTCTGGGGAAGAGGTGGAGATTTCTAGGAATTGGGGGTTCTTTTTCCTTTCATTCCAGATAAGGTAACTTCGGAGGTTGTCTTGGTGATGGTAAATAGTATGGCACTTGTGGGGGGTTATTTTAGTATGCTAATACATTATAAGTAGGGTGTAATGAGCAAAGGTCACTGTTGTTGACATCTTGGCTCTTACTGGTCTTAACCAGTTTCTTCTCTGCACTCTGTTTTCTGGTTTTTGTCAGAGGTCTTGGTTTGGGTCTTACAACTTTTTTTTTTTGGTAGAGACAGAGTCTCACTTTACGGCCCTTGGTAGAGTGCCGTGGCATCACACAGCTCATAGCAACCTCCAACTCTTGGGCTTAAGCTATTCTCTTGTCTCAGCCTCCCAAGTAGCTGGGACCACAGGCACCTGCCACAACACCCGGCTATTTTTTTTTGTTGTTTCAGTTTGGCCGGGCTGGGATTGAACCTGCCACCCTTGGTATATGGGGCTGGCGCCCTGCCCACTAAGCCACAGGTGCCACCCTGGGTCTTATAACTTTTTAACAAGTTGAACCTGACAGTTGTCCATCTTGGTCTCATGTGGCCACATTATGGGGTAGAACTTCAAGAAGTCTAAGAATTCTAAATTTGAATCTCTACTTCCAGGTAGTTGAAGGTATATTTGCCAAGATTAGAGGTTAAGACCATATGTTAGTTAATGGTTTAACTTGACTTGTAACTTTTATGTATTTATTTTTTTGGAGACAGGGTCTTACTCTGTTGCCCTGGGTAGAGTGACATGGCATCTTCAGCTCGCAGCAACCTCAAACTCCTGGGCTTGAGCGATCCTCTTGCCTCAGTCTCCTGCCTCAGTCTCCTGCCTCAGTCTCCTCTTGCCTCAGTCTCCTGCCTCAGTCTCCACTAGCTGAGACTGCAAGTGCCTGCCATAACACCTGGCTAGTTTGTGTATTTTTACTAGAGATGGGGTCTCATGTTTGCTCAGGCTGGTCTTGAACTTCTGAGCTCAAGTGATTCCTGTCTGGGCCTCCCAGAGTGCCTGGCCTTGCCTTATAACTTTTAAATACTTAAGACATGTAGTGTAGACCCCCAGGTGTAACCCTGTCTGAGCTCTCACAAGTGTTGTTGGGCCTGACCTGAAGTTTTCTATTTAGTTAAAACTTTTTTTTGTGGCCTATATGGCAGTATTAACAATATTGTTAAATATAGCCAGCCTCTTGACAAATATTTACAAAATTTCTGTAAAATCCAATGCATTTGGTAGATTTGTAAGGTCTCTTCTTTGGGTGGACAGAAGAAAAGTTTATGATACAGATTGGTATCTACTTTGAGAAAACCCATTTTTAAAAAGGAGGGATGTGTGTAATAAATTTATTTTTACATGACAAATGGAGATCATGGGATTATCAGTGAACTTCTGAAGTACCTGTTACATAGTAAGTCTGCAAAGATGAGCTGAGACCAGTATGTTGCCCAGCAGTTCACAGACCAGTGCACATGACATTCTCAGTGCATGAGAGGACTTCTGGGAGGTGGTTGGTGGTACTGATACATTAGGCTTTGCGGGCAGGAAAGGTGAGTGAAGTAGGTTATGGAGAATTCTAGCTATTTATTGTATGTAAGAGGAAAAAACATCTTAGCTGTTACTCTGTTAATAAATGAAACTGCCAAGAACCAGAGGATCAGTCAGGCACAGAAACTCTAGTCGTTTTTCCAGGTTTGTCAGTATGGTATTAAGACATCAGACCTTATCATACTTTGATCTTTTGTGAAAGGTTGAGGATGCTGGCTTGTGTGAAATCACCTCCACAGAAGTGCCTCCTTTGCGTTGCTGGGGAAGCTGAGCTGCGAGGCTGTCTCTTCTCACCTGAGGACACACACTCAGAGAACAGCATGCTTCAGGCCAGGATTCTCACTGATCACTGCAGTGAAGCGGCTTCCTTCTCGATAATATTTAATCTCTGCTGTTTAATAATTTACTTTCTAGACATGAGAAATTACAGCCAGAGACTATACGTTGTCTGGTTCCTGAGTATAGCGAATAAATTTTTGAGAAGAAAGACCGGTTAACTTACTTTAAAACTAAGGAAGGAAGTAAATTCTTATTTCACTTTATTTTACTAAATAAAAAGGACACATTGGAAGAGACAGTTAAACTTATGTCACTGAGCAGTGAATGGGAGATGAAGTAGAGGTAAGAATAATAGACCATTTTTTCAAAAATGTGTCCACAGAGGGAGAGAGGCAAGCATTGGAACAAGGTCCAATAGGAGATGAACAGCAAAGAATCAAAACAATTGGGAAGATTTATCAGTGAGAGAAGATGGGGGCCGTTAGCTGGAAAGGAAAGGGAGGTGGTAATGTGGCTAAGTTTTGAGGCACAGGAGAGGAACGCCTTTTGTTTTCCCTATGAAGTAGCAAGTGAAATCACGCACTGAGAGAAGCTGGGGCGGCGGGGGGAGATACTCTGCTTTCTCTTCAAAGCATATAAATCTTTTGGTTTCTACTAAAGATGGGCTGACCACATATTTTCATACCCCCGCCTTTTGCCCTTTCTGATTGTTTAGCCCAGAATTCCTGTCTACCATCTTTGTCTGTGTAGTCCTAATTAACTTCCCAGGCTTCATTCAAATGCTGTCACTTTATTTTATTTTTGACAATTGGTTCCTGAGTCCTACCAATTCAAATTAGTCGCACACACAGTACTCAGTAGTGTTATCTGTATTGCATAGCTTATTTAACTTTTGTCTTGTAAAATGGTTTTAAGTCTGGGCTGGGTACCTTTTCTCATACCTGTAATATTAGCAGTGTGGGAGGAGTTTGAGACCAGCCTGAACAAGAGTGAGACCCCTTTCGCTAAAAAAAAAAATAGCTAGACACTGTGGCAGGCGCATGTAGTCCCAGCTACTTGGGAGGCAGAGGCAAGAGCATCACTTGATCTCAAGAGTTAGAGGTTTCTGTGAGCTATGCAGCCATGGCACTGTACTGAGGGTGAACAAAGTGAGATTCTGTCTCCCCTCCACCAAAAAAAAGGAAAATGCGTTTAAGCCTGTCTCTTCCATTAAAGTGGCCAATCTTTTATTCCTCTCTTTTCTTAGCAGGTCTTAGTGGGGGTCCTTGTACAAGTTAGGAACTCAACGCATAATTTGTTAAAGAAGTTTATCAACTGAACTATAAGCACTATTATTGTTCAATAAAGCTGGCTATAATAAGCACCTTTTCAAATTCTGAGATAGTTTATTTGTACAATTCTATTACTACTCAAAATGTTCATACAGTTCTGTAGGTAAAAGTAGTTCAGTCCGCCATGAGCGTTCAGGAGTATCGTACTGGTGAGACAGGTTGGGCACATATGTGGTGCTGCTTGAAGTGGGACTAAAACTTTCAATTTTTGTGTCTCATGTCTAAGCAACAAATTCTTAGCTTTCAGTTGTGTACAAAACATTATGCTCACTTGTAGCATAATGTGGCTCCTGGTCTCAACGAGTTTGTAAACCAGTTCTGGAGACATTTTTGTAAAATGAAGTTACAAAATACGTAACAACAGCAAACAAGGAACGACAGCAGCAGCAGTGCCCAGGGAGTGCCATCGGCGAGGCAGTGAGGCCAGCAGGGAGAGGGACGCTGGTCTGGGAGGGTGCCAGGGATGCTGAATGTAAGTGGGGCCAAGAGGACAGACTGGGGTTTGCTTAGCTGAAGACCGGAAGGTGAGGTATTTCAGACAGAATTAATGGCATGGAGGGGATAACATGGCAGTAATAAAGGGGGAGATTGGGGTGAGA